CGTCTTCTCCTTCATCTGTCCCCAATCACTTTGGATCTGAGCTTTGATTTGAAACATGAACCTAAAGTTATTCTGACTGAGATCTTTGCTGCTCTGTGAAGGTCCCTGATGATAAATGATGTCTGATTAAATAAGCAGCTCAAACACCAAACTTGGATATTTGTGCAAAACTAACTCTGTCAGATAACTTTTACTAATTTAATGACTATAGAGAAGATGGGAATGTATTTTCCTTTTTTTTTTTTTTAAGTATTTCAATCATTTTTTGTTGTTATTGGTTTGTTTGTTTCCAGTATTTAGCGTTGCTGTTGTAATACCTGACAAATCTAACATCTTCATCACATGAATGTCATGCAAAAGCCAGTACTAACAGAAATATGTAGACGGCTTGAATGGTCACATGTATTTTAGGCTATTTTTTTATTTGTTCAATAATCTGCATTGATCACACCCGAGTGTACAGAGTCATTATTTATACACTTGACAGTATTCACTGACAGGAGTGTCCTTCACAGCAAAGAAAATACCGTTTTTTATTCTTCACAGCAACTTCAGTAGGCAACTGACTAAAAAAAAGATAACATTGTTTATTTTTTAGTATAACTTTTTCCACATATTTAGGTTTTTTGCTGTTTTTGTGATCATTTTCCCCAAAAAAATCTATATTTTTTAATACATATTCATTGTTTATTTTGGGCCTCCAAGTGTAACAGTTTATTATACACATTAGAAACAATCGGCTCTTCCAGTATCAACAAATCGACATTAGTTTTTGAGAACCCCTAATGTGTCGACCACTAGAAACTAATTTTCATCACTAACGCTGACCACATGTGGACAGTAATGGGTGTTTTAGGTCTTTTGAAATAGGACTGCAATAATTATCTTACCTGTTGGAGGTAACTTTTTGAATAGCCTCACTTTGGAGAAATTGTTTAATTTTGGTCAGACTGATGAGCTGAAGACTACGTCCAAGTGGGCAAGGACTAAAAAGGATTGCTGCTGTCATCTGAAAACAACTCTAATCTTAAATAACACACAGTAGATATGCAAGTGAATTTTAATAAACCTCAACGTTGTCATCGGTTTTGCATTAAATTACTATACAAACAGAACTAGTACTATATTCTTTGCCGAAGGTGCCCCAGGCTGCTCTAGAAGTGTCACAGCAACTTGATCATCTTGACTTGTATCATCTTGTAAATGTATCTTTTAATCATAAACTTATCTATTTGTTCTTGCAAATAACAGAACTCTACAAATAACATGTAATGCAAAACTGATAAGCTGTAATATTATATAAAAATATAAACTTATAAACTGTAAAGGTTTGTAAATTATTGTTTGCATGAACCACTCAGAAATCTTTGAAATTGGAGTTAAGACCACATCAGTCCACTTTGATCCTGCCATAGTCAAAACCAGCCATTAGTTCATCAACCAGGTCAACAACCTTCTCTCTGAGAGCCAGCAGCTCTACCAACTGTGCCACTGCACTGTCTTTTCCACAAAATGTTTTTTTTTTAATATTGTTTCATTTGTTACAGATAAAAATGTCTGTCTTGACAGTATAGCAGCACTGTTCCCCTAGATCAGTTCCCTTGGCCGGGCGCTCGTTGTATTTTAAACTGGGTGGGGTGGGGGTGAGGACGGGACAGAGTCATGTCTGTGTTGCCTGCCTGCTAGCTTAGCGCTACGTTGCTGCCATCTTTTTAATCAATGGGGGAGGGGGGGGGGGGCGGAATCATGTCTGTGTTGCCCACCCACTAGCTTAGTGCTACGTTGCTACCGGTAATGGTCAATGTGGGGTGGGGGTGGTGGTGGTATATGATAGTGTAGGGGCAGGGCAGCCGACTTGGGACCCCAAGGTCCCAGGTTCAATTTCCGGTCATTGCACATCTCATGGTGTCTCTGAGCAGGACGCCTTATCCCCAGTTGCTCCCTGGGTGCTTTCAATAGCTGCTCACTGCTCCACCTGGTGGTGGATGGGTTAAAAGCAGAGAGCCAATTTCGTCATTGTATGGGAACATACAATGATGACAACACATTATTATTATTATTATCAGTAGCATTTTTGCTAGCACATTTGTATTGTGTCCCTGTCCTGCACAGTATCAATACTGACAGTTGTGTGTGTGTGTGTGTGTGTGTGGGGGGGGTGGGGACGCTCTGTTCTGTGGACGGGGTGGAGCGCCCCGCTTGTATAATGGTACGGGAAACACTGAGCAACATTTCTTCTACAATTTAATGAGAGGATATTCAGTCCAAAAACCAATATATTAAAAACTTAAATTATTTTTTTAAGAAAGCAATATAGTGGAAGTTACTGTCGCACAATGAAATGACTGTAATTTAACCTGTTGCATGTTTCTATCACACACACGCCTTAGTGTTTATTAATCTGTTTTTATAGTCATTTGAGGGTTTACGGTGTGTGTTTTTTAATCCAACTTAAAGTGTGTGTAAAGCCGTTCAGTTAGCTGAAGAGTGGGTGTTTACACTCCAGAGAGTGGGGAGCTCCAAAGCCCTGCCAGGTATGGTAGGTACAGCTGCTCTGTGTAAACCTCTGGAGTGTTTGTGTTTCAAATGTTCATATTTACCCAGGGAAGCTTAACGATACCTTATTACCACCAACCACAGCCTGTCACGCATCAGTACCTTCAGTCACTACGTGCTGCTTTGTTGAGGGATTACAAAAACAAGTTGTCCTCTGTGTTTCAATGTACGCTCTCGGCTCCTGTGAGTGTTAAGACAAGGTGCTTTCTAGTTCAGAGTAGTTTGCATGAAAGGCGTCCAGCAGGAGTGGCTTTATGGTTTAAAGTGGAAGAAACAACAGAGAGGACATGACTTTACTGAAAGGTTGCCGCACTCGTTGCCTGAGTTTTCTTGAGTTCATTTGTTGCTGTGAGTTTTCATTCTTTGAATGGATTACTAATTCATCTGTGGTGACACGGGCACTTTGAGGTCACTCTGGATCCTGATTCTGTTATGGCACTAATACTAAATCTCAAACGGACACGTGTTGTTGTTCAGATACTGTTTACTGAATTGTCTCTGGAAAAGAGGACCTCTTTTCTGCACCTTCGTGTCCTCCTCTTTAATGGGTCAGGTTGGGGTCATGGTGACTCTCGAGGAGGCGATCATCAGGAAGGACTGTGGCACTCCTGTTCTCTGGGGCGTTGCCTACAGAACAGAGATAACAGCGATGCTCCCTGTTGCCGCAGTGCCATTTCCTGATACCTAGACACAACAGAGCCACTGTAGGAACCCAGGAAACCTAACCCCGGGCCGGAGGATCTATATTGTAGCAAACACCCCGTCAATTATTAACACACCAGCGATCTCATTCCTCGGATGTAACCATGGCAGCCAGCAGACTGAAACTCCTGGGACGTGCCTCTGCCCTGTGGGAAAGTTGACCAAGAAGACGCACACATACCTCTTGACACTGAGAGCAGATGGACTTATCTGACTTTTTGTTCCTTTCACGAAGGGAGTACCCGAGGATACGAAGAGTGATGAGGTCCCTAGATGTAATAGATAAGAGTTGGTCATTTTTCTTCCATTTCTAGATTTGAGTTTATCTGGTTTTGCTGTGGCGTCTTCCCGTGGCGTGTTTGGATCTGTGTCCGTCGTCAGGCATCTCACTGGCTTCACATTTTTGGTTCTTACACTAATTTGGTCAGCAAGTGTTTTCAAAAGGAGACGACTTCTGTGCTGTTATCATGAATCTGAGGCAACGAATTAAACTGCTGAAACACTTTGGCTCTGAGCCCCCGGAGCCAAAGCCCCCACTGCTGGTGGTCCCTGTAAGTTAATGGATTCAGCTATTTGTTTGATTAACATACAGGCATATTTATTTATCAGTAACTACACAGAATTATTTGTTTGAACTTGTTTAGAGTGGTTTTCATATTAATAAATTTATTTTCAAGTTGAGTGTTACAAAGTAGTCCATTATATGCACTGTTTATATACGGAGAGCATTCATTTATATTCACATATTATGTGTAATTAAATTTATGTAAGCCTCACACAATTATTTGCCCATTCTAAATGCAAATATTATTGCTGGGCTTTTTCTAATTTCAAGTAGTACTTGAACTTAAATAATGTGCAAAAGAGCCAGCATTGTGATCAGATATTTGCTATAATTTGATCCCCTAACTATTTATTTATTTATTTATTTATTTATAGCATAAAGTTTCAGGCTGAGAAATTATATTATGTACAATCTGACAGCAAAATACAATTATTCTGTGTTTTTCTGATAATGTGGGACCAGTATGAGTGTATTACCATGTCACAGGAATAAGAGCTTATTTTTAAAGGAATCTAAAATCTATTTGAATCTTTTATAGTATAGATTAAACTAATAATAGCTTAGCTCTAGCTTCTATGTTTTGCCTAACTTTGCATGTTTAAGGGGTTGCTCAGCTCTACTTTTACATTTATTTTAAAACCAAAACGCGCCTACAGCTTTGTTGCGTTAGGGTTTATCGCCATTTCTAAAAAAAAAAATAAAAAATAAACTTTTAAGTGAACTTACTTAAAAAAGCAATGTTCTTAAAGGAGCTAAATGGAAATAAATTCATTAACTCAAGTTATATTAAACGTTGAATTTGGTGATCAGCAATTAAAATGTGAGGAATAATTTCCATAGTGAAATAAAGCAGATTTTTTTTTTTTTTTATTATTATTATTATTTCTTTCCTATTGCAGCCAACTTTAGTTCCCTTTTCTTCTGATCAGACCCATCGCTTGTTCTCAGATGTTTTCTTGAGCTGATCTTCCAATAACTAATCTTGGTCATTGTTCAGATGAATGACCTCTGAGCTGGCACATTTAAGGTTGTTTCGCTGTTTTGATTTCTGTCTGCCGGCTGGTTTAAAGCAGTGCAGCTCCACCTTAAATCCACTATCATCAAAGATCACCAAGAGAGGGCAAAGTCTCTGGGGGGAGGAGCACTCCCCCAGGTGAGGTCTCCTAGAAATGCTTCTCTTGTTGCTGAGAAACACCAGAGCCGGTCATATTGGGAGGGGGAAATATAATAACGCGAGGGACAGTAATGAGTGGATCTGGACTCAGCTGGTTGTGGTAGCAGGTGGAGGATGAGGCTGTTTGTTGAGTGATTGGAGCAGCAGGTGTTTCTGTTCAGCTTTGAACCACCACAGGAGAATGGAAGTGAGGTTTAAAGACCAAATGGTGAGTGGAGCAGGAGAAATGGAAGCATTACTTTGTTTTGTAGCTCGATACGATGTCAGAATGAATTTTAAATGTTGAGATTAAGAGTAAACGAGAGATGTAAAAATATGAGCAGTCAGCCAAATATTCTCAAGAGCTGGCAGAACCAGAAAGTTGAGAACAGACTGCGGGCTTTTATCACTCACTATCTACTGTGATAGCTTTGCAAATATTCTACCTGCCCTGTTCTGAAATGTTTCCTAACAGACGTATGAATCAAAAGTTACAACGCTCTGCTTATTTCTCCAGATTAACATACTTTGGGGTAATTCCCTACATTCCTGTTTAAAAATACATCACATAAGAACATATCTGTTTGCAAATGGACTTACTGTCAGTAGAGTGTAGAATAATAAACCTACAGCTAAAAGTTTAGCTTTCTTCATTTTTTGTTTTTTACAAATGTGATCTTGTTTTGTGCTGCATTGGATTTGTCCTTTTTCTTAAACTTTCCTCTCTGTCGATTTATATACTTGTTTACTGTTTGCCCTGCAGGTTGTCCTGATTTTATTATCCAGGCTACACTTGTTTATTTCATACACATGTTCAGTCTGCACATGTTTGAGAAGTGATTATCGTTAGCTTGGTTCGGGAGGGTCGCCTGCAGCTTTAACTGCTGTGAAACTGCAATTAAACAACTTCATGCTGCAGATTAAAATGCTAGCTACCTGCTTTTAAGTGTTTTTCTTTTCCCATCAAGTTTATCATTAACTTAGTCTAACAAGCAGCCACCTGTTCAAAGTCAAACATTCATTCATTCAACCTTTATTTATACAGGTTAGTCTCATTGAGTCACGAGGACTCATTTACAAGAGAGACCTGTTTAAAAAAAACTGATGAGGTACACAATTTATTAATTTATTAACCTTTTATTTAACCAGGCAAATCCCATTGAGATCACAGATCTCTTTTGCAAGGGAGGCCTGGACCTGAAGGCAGACTAGCATGCCTGTTTTTGGTCTGTGGGAGGAAACCGGGGTAACTGGAGAAAACCCATGCAAGCACGAGAATGACATGCAAACTCCACCCAGAAAGACCCCAGGTCCAACCGGGGATTGAACCCAGGACCATCTTACTGTGAGGCAACAATGCTAATCACTGAGCCGCCGTACTGCCAACAATACATAAACAGTAATACATAAATAGTCAAAAAACATCCATCCATTATCTTTACCCGCTTATTCCATTTTGGGTCACGGGGGTCGCCAGTGCCCATGTCCAGCAATCACTGTGCGAGGTGCGGGGTACACCCTGGACAGGTCGCAAGTCCATCACAGGGCAACATAGAGACAAACGAGACAAACAAACATTCACTCTCTCACTCACACCTAGGGACAATTTAGAGTTACCAATCAGCCTAACATGCATGTTTTTGGTCTGTGGGAGGAAACCGAAGTACCCGGAGAAAACCCACGCATGCACGGAGAGAACATGCAAACTCCACCCAGAAAGACCCCTGGGTTTGAACCAAGGACCTGCTCGCTGAGAGGCAGCAGCTCTACCAGTTGCGCCACCGTGCTGCCTGTCAAAAAAACATATAAAATGTAAAGTAAATAAAAGTAGCGATATCAAACAAAATAAAAACAAGCTATGGTACATTATGAATTGGGGTAAAAACAGGAACATGTCTGTGTTGTGTATATATAGATATACAGTGGTGTCGTCTGTAAACAAACAAACAAATGCAGAATAAGAGCGCTTAACTTCGTTGTCCTTTTTAATCATTAGTGATTTTTAAACATTATCATTTGGGGTGTTCATGTGCAGGACGTCCACACTGATAGTTGTACATTTGTTCATGTAGAGCAGGGGTGTCAAACCCACTTACAAAAAGAGGCCAAAATTAAAACCTTTTTCAAACTAAGGGCCGGTTTCAGAATCTACATTAACTCAAGTTAGAAACCAAACATCTTTTCTTGATTGCAGGTTCCTCAACAAGAGCTTGATTGGTCTCATTTGACGTTCTCTGTTGCACTTTTGACATCATAATGAAAGATTACTGAAAAACTTCAAGTGAAAAAAGTATTTTACATTTAAACATCATCTTGGGGCCAGATGAGATGTCAACGAGGGCCACATTTGGCCCCCGGGCCTTGAGTTTGACACATGTGATGTAAAACTGAATAAGAAATGTGAATGTGTAGCTCTTGTTTGTCCTACAGTCTCTGCAAAGCGTTTGAAGAAACTTCAGGCTGTTTTTTGAAACTCGATGACACCAGATGTGTATCTGACTGGAGTAGCTGCCTTACTTGTAACACAAGTCTCTTCCTCAGTTTATGTAGTTGTAAATTTAGTCCACGTCCATGTTTCCTGTTTCCTGTTGGTTTTTATCAAGAGCAGTTTGTGGAAAAAGGCAAATTGTGAGAGGCATGCTGTCATTTTAGTCAAGTGTAGTTCTTTTCCCCATTAGAAAGAATTTGAGAGACATGCTTTTAAAAAAACGGAACATTGGTTTATCAGTAGTAGAGTGAGGAGACATATTTTTACATGTCATAAGTCGAAGGAAATTAAAAACTTAAGATTCTTTAGTGATTTCACTAAGACGTGACGTCAAATTCCTGTTGAAGGATAAAACTTAAAAAAGGCTGAGAGTCTGAGCGTCAACAAAGTCCCTCGGGTGGATTCAGTTGGCAGTAACAGTTTATGTAATCATTCAAATATTTGGTTAATCACATCAATAATATTCAAACATTTTGCCTAATAAATATTAATTTTTAAGCTGATTATTTCTGAGCTTTTATGTTGAGCTTAAAAAGACAACTTAAGATCTCATTAAGCCTTTTTAATTATTTATTTTTACTGTTTTCTAATATTTTACAAAAAAATCAAATAAAATAAGTTATTTAAAAATGATCTATTTAGTCAGATAAGGTTTATTTTCAGCTCTGTGTTATTATTTTCTGTAAAACAGAGCTGGATGTTGTTTATCGTCCACACCTCACAGGTATAAGAGGGAGTGTGCACCTGCTAGCCCCGCCCCCTCTCCATACCGGTCAGGCAGGATTGGGGCAGGTGTGAGCATGCTCAGACCAGGTTAAGCTGAACAAACACTCTCTCTGTTCAGGATCAACCATCCTCCGTGTACGAATCAGCATTACACGGCAGGGTTAGTAAACCTTCCGTGCTGCAGAGCAGATCGATTGGATCACAAACAGAGTCGTTTATTTTGCCGTCTTTGTGTTTTACAGAAACCAGGTATGGAGGAGTTAACAATATGGGAGCAGCATACAATAACACTAAACAAAGTAAGTGGTGGTTTATAACAACCGAAGCATGAATGTGTGAGCCCTCATGTTCAAGACTCAGAATCTTTTTTTTTTTAAGAGAAATAAGAATAACACCCACAGTAAATGTTTGTATTTTATTTATTTATTATCATAGGTGAGTACTATTTGATTTGTGGTTATCAAAGGAGGGAGCAGGTGGCTCAGGGGCTGTTTCTGTGTGGCTTCTGAGGGTATTATGAGGGACTTTCAGGGGCTGAGGTGGACCATTGTTCAGCTGTCTTGGTTTCACGACAGGAATTCAGAGCGACACACCCTGCTGCGTCCAACAGCTCTGACTGGTACTACGCTATCCTGCCGCTGGAATGTGCTCTGCCTCCTTCTATCTCTGCTGCATCTTCCACTTGTTCTCTGCTTGCTCTCTATCCTGCATTCCTTTTCTCTTTCCTGTCAGTCATTTTCTTCTGATGTCACTTCTTACAGGACCCCAGACTTGGCTTTGGGTTTGCCTTGTCTGGAGGTAAAGACAAGCCTCAACTAGATGGGGATACAGCTGTGATGGTGTCAGATGTTCTGCCAAATGGACCGGCCATGGGTCGACTTTTGTAAGTTCACTGCTCATACATTTAGCTTTTGATTGTTTTTTTCTGCATACACAAATACATTTACAGTGTCTGACGTTTGTTTATTAGGCTGCACAACTAAAGTCGTGTGTGTGTTTTCTGATGCTTTGCAGCAACAAAGACCAAATTGTCATGGTCAATGGAGTTAATATGGAGAACGCTCATTCAAACTACACTATTCAGATCCTCAAGACCTGTGGCAAGATAGCAAACATAGTGAGTATGAGCAGAAAACCAACGGTAGCCATAATAAAATACACTTATCATCATACTAGTCAACATTTTTTTCCTGTACAAACTTTTCTCTTTGCAGACAGTAAAACGACCCAGGAAGATTCAGATCCCGGCCACCTCCAGACCAACTCGGGCAGCCTCCCACTCCAACCTGCTGGATCAGGAGCCTCCCAGGCGAACAAGACGCTTCTCCGACGGCAGCGACCAACGCGATGCAACCCGCTACAATGCCCAAAGCTCCTCGCCTGACCGGAACGGGTACGGAAACTCGCTGTCAATGTTGTCGTCAGGGTACAAGCGGCTGCCGCAGAACTCCACTCCAGACAGACCCGTTAAAACCACTCTGGTTAAAAAGAAAGTCACAGATGGTAAGATCTCCATCAGTAATTTAATTCTGACTGAGTAAAGGTCAGATATTAAAGCTGTTCTGACATATTGTGCTCATATTGTCTTTTTCCCCCCAGAGTATGGACTGAAGCTGGGCAGTCAGATCTTCATAAAGCACATGTCAGAAACTGGCCTTGCTGCACGGGAAGGGACGCTGCAGGAGGGAGACCTCATCCTAAAGGTGAACAGCCGCTTTTAATCACTAAACTCATCCTGTTAGAGAAACAAAGAAGCTTCCGGTAACTGATAAAAATAAATAAACCTAAACGTTGCGTTGTTTGTGAGTAGATCAACGGTATGACAACAGAGAATCTATCCCTTCTGGAGACAAAGCACCTGGTGGAGAAGAGCAGGGGCAAACTGACCATGACTGTCCTCAGAGATGACCGCAAGTTCCTGGTCAGCATTCCTGAGGTGGAGGACAGCGCCCCGAACAGTGAAAACGACCAGCGCAGAGACAGCAGTTCAGAGCTGGAGGGTAAGGGCACCAGACATAGGAGGGACAGGTAGGAAATTAAAGCCTAAAGATGGAGGGCTGAGAGGAGCGTTGCTGTGCTGAATCACTTTACTTATGGAGCTTAAAGCTAAAATTACCAGAACTAAAAACTAACAGTACCGTAATTTCCGGACTATAGAGCGCATCTGAATATAAGCCATACCCACTAACTTTAAAAAGAAAAAATATAATTGTACATAAATAGGCCACACTTGTCTATAAGCCGCAGGCGTCCGCGTTGTAACATGAAATATTTACACTGAAAGATTTTTTTAAACTTGTAATTAAATACGTACCGGTAACATACATAAATACATACAGTGAATGTTTTTTTTCTGAACAATGCCTGTAACACATCTGGTTAAAAAAAAAATACCAGTACAGTAGCCTACCAGGAAAAGTTATTGAACGCTATCTACTTCTTCCTTCTGTGCACTAAAACCATTAGTCGTCTTCTTCAGTGTCTGAATTGAACGGCCTCAGAGTTACTTCGTCACACGTCCTCAGTCTCCTTCATTGTCTCTCTGTCACTTTCGTCTCGAGGCAAATTCGCCCTTGAGCTTGTGCTGTCCTCTTCATCATACAGCAGTCTTTCGAAACCCGTTGGTGATAGAGGATTTTTTTTTTTTTTACACTGCTCCACGTTGTTGGGATCCACTGGCAGACTTGAGCAAAAGTTGCTCTTCGCATTCGACCAGTTTTGGTAAAAGATTTCTCGCTGCCAGTCATCCAAACCTCCCACTGAGCTCGGAGTGCCACTTTAAATGCACGATTCACACTTATGTCAAGTGGCTGCAAATACTTTGTTCATTTATTTATACAGGTGATCTCACTGAGTCACGAGCACTCATTTTCAAGAGATCTGTTTTGGGCAGCTATGTAAGCATTCGGGTGTGACGAGGCTAAATGTTTTGGTGGCATGAAGCTCATTAGCCTGTAAAAATCCATAAATTAGCCGCATCATGGAATTGACTGCAGCGTTCTCAGAGTGTGAAAAAAGTAGTGACTTATAGTCCTGAAATTACGGTAGCAAAAGACTGGCTCAAATCTAAACATAGCAGGCTAGCTTTAAGAAGTTTGCTAGTAGCTACAAGTGGCAAATAACTAGATAAAATTAAAGGCTTGTTAGAGGCTAAAGGTGTCAAACAACTAGTTAAAAATATAAAAAGGTTAGTTGGTAGCTACAAGTAGCAAGCAGTGTGAAAGTTATAAAAACTACAAGTCACGACACTCTCCTGAACGTTTTTATATATGAATATAGTGACTCGGAATATGGAGAAATGGTTCCATTGTAAAAATCATGCAGAAAGACTGGAAACTTGGGTGTGGTTCACAATTTCTAACATTTTCACAAGCTAACAAAACATACTGTTCTTGGTGAGCCCCTGACACCCCCACTCCAAAAGCGTACAGAAAAATGTTTAATTTCATGAAACCAACTTATAGTAAAACTAAGACATAAATCCCATGAGCTTACATGGATGTACTAAGGTAAAATATTGTCATTCCATATTTGTAAACCTCTCAAAATGGTTTAAAATGTCCAGATACAGACAGATATAACTACAAACACCTGAAACACCCGACCACTGTCACAGAAAGGACTTGGTGAGTTTGCAGGAAGAAAAAAGTAAACGTTAAACAAAGACACACATCTTCACTAGAATCTGTCTCTCTCTTCCCCCACCTCTCTCCCTCTCTCACCCCTCTTTCATTCTTTCATCTTTCAACCATTTTGATTGTTGTGTGCTGCTGATCTCATGCTGCTGATTATTTCATGCTGCTACATTCATTTATTCATACTCCTCCACCCACAAAGACTTCTGTTCGCGCTGCTGTTGTTCGGTGTATTGATTGGCACTATTGGTGTTTAGTGTATTTCTTAGATCTTTGAGCGTACAGTTTGGTGTTCATTTAGTTTATATCTTACATCTGTTTCTTTTTACACTTTATATTTTTGTTATTGTTGGATGTAACTGGGAGCCTGTGCACACAGTTTTGTTCCACCTCATGTACCACGTGATGCAAATGACAATAAAGAACCTTGACCTCTTCTCCACCTCTCTCTCTCTCCCCACCCCTCTCTCTCTGTCTCTCTGTCTCTGTCTCTCCTCTCCCGCCCACCTCTCTGTCACTCACCCCTCACTCTCCCCACCCCTCTCTCTCTTCTCTTTCTCCCGACTACCTCTCACTCACTCTCCCCCTCTTTCTTACTCCCCCCTCTTCCCCCTCTCTCACTCCCTCTCTCTCACTTTCCCCCATCTTTCTCTTCCTGCTCTCTCTCCCTCTCTTTACTTCCTCATCTCCCCCCCCCCC